TTGTTGTTTCAGAGCACGAACCAGATAACAGGCAACACTGAAAAAGTTTTGTTTTTCCTCAAGCATTCATGCCGTCATATGGCTACTGTCCTATTTTCTTGCTTAGCATTGTCTCACTTTAAATCGATTCTGCGGTAGTGTCATACAGACACCAGTCGTTGTATTGGGCAGAGTCGCAACACTGCATTTCCCCATGCCTTTACTTGCCTGGGGGAACTTTAAGTATACCGAGGGCTTCATAGTATTTAAGCTCTTGCAACGCATAAGATAGATACGTCAGTGAATCAGAACGCGCCAACGCTTCGCTGTTGTGGGAATAAACTGAATGCTTTCACAACGTGATAGTTAACAAGTTAAAAGCATTCAGGCAGCTAATCGTTTTGGAAAAAAGCACGCTGATGACAAATCGAAATACATTTTTGGATAATTTTTATTAATTTATATTACAAAAGCATTGCAAAATATGTTTCATTCTGCATCACACATCATAAATCGATAACCTTTTGATTCAACGATTTTGGATGAAACGACAATTTGATCGACGCAAGTAAGAAACTTATACAACCTCCCAAATTTCGACCGTACTACAATGATTCTCTTCATTGTAGAAAATTAATTCTGCATGAGATGTTGCACACGATATAAAACACAATCACACAAGGTTCAGAGAAACTGCAGAATAGTTCGCCCACCCTGGATACGAACTATTGCAGTGATTACGTAGTCAAATTTAATTTACTGCGACATTCAATGATTCAACGATCACGAGTTTCATCTTACAATTAGTCTCAGAAATATTTACATCAACAAATTAAACTTTCCTAAGGCATTGAAAACAAAAAAAACAGTGCTCAGGATACGTACTAGCGATGACCCTCCAAGGCTTACTTAATCGAACTCTAACGAAATCTTACAATACCTTCCCAATACAACATCAATCATGTCAGAAAAGATATAAAGAGTTTTGCAGTAATAACAGATTCTGAAAAAGATGATTAGAAGCCTGGAAATATATATTTAACAGGTGAAGACTTCAGGATTCACAACGGTATTCCTTTTTCAGTACAAATTAATAATGTAAAGAGAAAATATGCAGTCAAACAGATCAGCCGGTATATGTCAAAAACACTGTAACGAATGGGAAAATGTGCAAGACAATAAGCGAAAGAAGAAAGGGAAGAAAATACAGCGAAGACAATGAAAAAATAAATGAATAAAAAGAGATTAGAAAATTAATTAAGATGAGACTTTAATTAAATAAAAGATCTTTTAAGCCTATTTCATCGTTTACGCAGGCTGCACAAAATGCATTAATGAAGATAGATGCATATATCATGACACACCGGCTGCGCTCTCACATCTTCACGCCTCTGCTCTCAATGTTCTCAATTTCATTTTTACGGGCATACGTCATAAAAGCAGAATGTTCTCCATGTTTACGCTCGAAAAAAGCCATACGTTAGTTTAAAAGCGATTCATCACGTCCTTCTGACATACTGATGCAATTCTTTCGACTACATTTACAATC